TGCTGTTGGGCACCTGGGCCCTGGCGAGGTTGAAGGACCAGGTCACTCTGCCAAGGCCCCATACAGGGGAGCCTGATGATTTGTCCCCCAAGCCTATCAGAGTGACCGCTGAAAGTTGCTGTTGGCACCCAGCAAGAATCCAAGTGTTGATGTCACGAGCCCTAAACAGGAAGCAAGATTCAAGTTGCCAGGATCTGCTTCCTCCACTGTGGCAGAACGACTGAAGTTTCCAGGATGAGAAGAAATGGCCGGGCCCACAGAGTCAGAAAGGCCGACTGCTGGCTCCTTTTCTGTGCTGAGAAGCAGCGATGGTGGAATAAAGCGTCCGGGTGTGTGCCTCTGCCTCCCTCTCCTGCCCCCACACTCTCCACTGCAGGAGCTCCCCAAAGAGGGGGAAAAGGGGAGAAGGAGCAGAAATTGTTAGTGTCAGAAGATAAATGTGGTCTCCAACGTGGTGACTTTTAACTGCTGCCACCATGATGCCACTTCAGGGCTCACCAGTCAGCACGGCCCAAAAAGTTCCATCAGGATCTTCCCAGGGCACACTGTTGAAAAGAATCTGACTGCACACAGGCTGCAATTGATTGGTTCTGTCTGCCCTGGTCAAGGATACTCCCCATCCCTCATCTACAAGCTGGGTGACTTTTCCTGAACAGGGGACAATTCCCCCGTCAAGACTTTGGCAGCTGGAAGGAGACCCTGGATACCAGGCTGCACAAAAACTGCCAGACTCCTCACTAGATTCCTCAAGACCTTAAAAAGCACCTCTTGGCCTGTCATTCTGCAATATGCCCTTTTCTGAAAGTATTAATGTTGGTTGTATTAGAAAACATTTTCTAAAGTAGAAACACATTACGAGGTTAATTGCTCCTCTGTGAAAATTACTGAATCTTTCCTTCTCTGTAGGCAGCCAAAGGAAGGTCTATCTGTCACTGGGAGAAACCTGACACCCATCTTTTGAGGGTGGGAAGACAGGCCTCAGTACTGTGCTCTGGGATAGAGTTTGCAGATCACTTCCCATGATGCTTTGCTCCAAAAGCCCAAATGACCTGTGGATTCCAGGCCACTTCATTTGGACACCTTGGTCTGCAGGGTGCTGGGAAGGTAGAGGTACCTCCAGATGGCATAGTAGTGAGTACCAGCACCAAATGCCACAAACAGATGCCAGATGGCATGGGCAAAGGGGATCCTGCCGTCACTCTTGAAGAACACCATGCCCAAGCAGTAGAAGATCCCTCCAGTCATCAGCTCCCAGATCCCTTCAGTGTTGGGCTGTCAGTAAGGACAAGTATAGTGCACAAGTCAGAGGAGCAGCCAGCTACTCTCCCACTCCCCAGAGTAAAAGACACATAGGTGGCGAGTCAGCCCAGAGTCCCTGAGGGAAGTCTGAACATTGTGATGTTTTCAGGTCTTCCCATATTATTTCACAAATGTACCATGTGTCTATCAAAATCTCAATGAATACATCTATGGCTTTTATATTTTTTAAACTGTACCTCATCTGATTAAAACCCGAAGAACTGACAGCAGCACCTCGAACAGGTGTTTGCACACCATGCTCACAGCGGTGTTACTCACAGGAGCCAAGAACTAGAAGCAGCCCAGGCATCCATCAGTGTGAATGAGTGTAGAAACAAAGGTAGTATACACATGCGGTGGGATATTCAGCCTAGAGAAGGAAGGTCATTCTGACACCTGTGACAACATCGATGAAACCTGAAGACATGATGGCCAGTGAATTAAGCAACTACACAAAGGATACAGATGGGAAAAGTTCATTTCTGTGAGGTGCTCACAGTGACAGAAAGTAGAAAGTGCTATCAGGGGCTGGAAAGAGGGCAGAGGAGTTGTCCTTTGATGGTATGGAGTTCAGATTGCAGAATGAAAACTGTCCTGTGGATGGATCATAGAGTTGGTTGAATGATATTCTGAACACACTTCATGCTTCTGGATTATAAAGTAACTGATGTCCATGGTTAAAAAGTAGAAAATAGAGAAAAAACAGCAGGAAAAGAATAGTAGCCATAAGCCACAGATGTGAGCACCCACTGCAGGCTGGTTTGGGGAAAGGAACCTGAGCAGGCCAAGCAGGACACGAGCAAGAAGAGCCCAGCCCTTTCCCCAGCTGGGAGATGCAGCCACCATTAAGAACATCTCCCAGTAGCCTTCCGTGAGTTTTCCTCACACTCACAATATGCAGCACACTCAGCCAGGGATGGTGGCACACACTTGTAACCCCGGCACTCAGGAGGCTGAGGCAGGAGGATTGACACCAGTTCAAGACCAGCCTGAGCTACATTGTGAGTTCAAGGCCAGCATGAACTATAGAGCAAGACCCCGTCTCAAAAAATAATAAATAAATAAACACAATAAGCAGTGTGCTCCTTGTCACGTGGACAAGCACACGAAAGCATCGTGTTTAGGCAGATGCACCCGGCACCCCTATCATCCTGCAGGCAGCTGAACTGTCCACTAAGCAGAGTCTCTCAGAGCTCATTACAGACAGACAGACAGACAGACAGACAGACAGACAAACAGATCCTGCTCAGTCTTGTCTCACCGTGCATGTGTGATCATCACCGCACAACAAGGTATCCCTAGTCATTGAGAACCCCCACTGGACGTTAAGGCTACAATAGTAGCAGCACCAGGTGTCCCAGCACTCGCACTGGGCCAGGCCCCTATTCTGTGCCTTACCTGAATTGCAGTGTCATCTTTATAGTCTTAAGAGGTGGCCGTTCTACTGTGGACAGCCATGGAAAAAAGGGACCACAAGAGGGCAGAGTAATGCATGCTGCAGAATGGTCCAGGAAATAAAACTGTCAGTGTCTGCCTGCACATCCCCATATATTTGCATTTCAATTGTATTTTATTTATTTATTTATTTATTTATGTTTCCTGGGGATTAAATCCAGGACTTTCAACCGAGCTACATGCCCAGCACTTTTTTACTTTTATTTTGAGACAAGTTCTCACTAAATTCCTAAATTTCCCACATAGGGCCCAAACTCCTGCCTCAGCCTCCCCGAGTGTTGAGATTAAGGGGTGCACCGCCACACCTGGCTGCCACCTACATTTTTTAAATGCAGGACTGGGTGGCAGAGCAGCTGCCTCGCATGTATGAGGGCCTGACCCTCACACTAAAAAAACTCACTAAATAAATTTTTAACAGAAAAAATGTGCACAAAACAAGCTATTATTAATCACAACTGAGCATCATATTGGGAAGGAAGTGAGAGCGCATTTTTATACATATATTGAGAGAACATATGATTAAATATACATTTATTATACGTACATATGTGTGTGTAAACATTTCATACATGATATGATGAATGTCTTCCAACTTGATAGCTATAACACATACGCTTACCTAAAAGTAACTTGGAGGGAGAAAGACAATCTGGAGCATAAATACAAGTCCAAAGGGACAGCGGGAAGTGACAGGGGAGAAAGGCGGGACCAGAGTGCACTGCCAAAGACCAACGTGCAGTGAGGCCACGTCGGGAAACAGCTGCAGCCTTGCACAAGAATAGGCCAAGGCTGGGGCCGCAGCTCCACAGCACAGCGCTCACCTCGCGCAGGCGAGGTCCCGGCCCGGATTCCCCAGCAGAGCAGAGCACAGCCAGGCTGCGTGATGAGAGCCGCTTGTGCATGTGAATTTCACAAAAGGTGCAGGAGATCGGTGGCTGGTCATGCGGAGAGGTCAGACCATATCCAAACAAAACTGGCCTGGGAGTAAAAAAGTGAAAACCACAGAGAAAACTACAAAAAAAGCAGGAGCTTCCAGGCACGGTAGCACAAGCCTGTAACTCCCGCACTCTGGGAAACTGAGGCAGGAGGCTCGTAGATTCAAGTCCAAACTGGACAACTTGGTGATCTATCTTGAAATTTAAAAATATGGAAAGGAGCTAAGGAGGTAGATCAGTGTGAAAGCCCCCGGTTAAATGCCCAGTGCAAAAAAAAAAAAAGGAACGTGACGCCTGACCGTTCTGTTTTTAAAATCTGTTAGGCTTGACTACATTTATCAGTAATAATGACTTAAAAATAATAACTGTCTAGCTGGGGCTTGCTTACTATGTAGAAGTCCCCCGGCACCACACACACACACACACACACACACACACACACACACACACACACACGTAAGTACAGATGCAGTGACTCAGGCCGCCAAGACCCCAACACCCAGTTGGGGAGATGGGGCCCCACTCCACCCAGCTGCCCCAAGCCTGGACTGGCCTCTCCCCTCTCAGAGCCTGGTGTCCTCACCCATGAACTAGGGATGTCACCTCCACCTCGAAGGGTGCCTGGGATGGTTCAGAGTGCAGAGACATGGAAAAGAGGAAGTTAGCACATAGCTCGGCCCCCAAGCCAATTACATTCCTCTCCTTTCCGGGGCTAGGGATGGAACCCAGGGCCTCTCCGTGTGAGGCAATGCTGGGCCCCGCCCTGGTCCTTTCTGTCCTATTTTATCTACTCTCCTCACTTTCCACGCTGGTCCTGGCTGGCAATCCAGGTCTAACATATAAGGCATTGCTTATTGTCAAGGTATAAGCTTTAGGGTCAGAGATCCTGAATTTTGCTTTTGTTCTTGCCATGCTGGGTAAGGAAGCCGAGACTTCATACAGGCGAGCAAAGCTCTGTACCCCTGAGCTGCCCCCAGCTCTGTGTCCTCCTGATAGACCCAGTTTTGTGAATTATCTTCCCACTGTGCTCCAGATACACTCTGATTGCTGCACGCAGATATTCTCATAGCCCAGAAGCCAGAAGCGCAGGGGCTGGAGGGCTCTCTCGGGGCCAGGCGGAGAGGGGTGAAAGAGAGGCTGCGGGTCCCTAAGCATGGACCTCCATGTTCTCCTGCCCTTGGAGCTAAGTCTCCCTGACCCACTGAACCTCAGTTTCCCTAGTTGCCAAAAGAAACACTCTTGAGAGTCAGGTGGCGCTTGGACACTCCCGCACCCTCCTGGGGTCCACACAGAGGCGGGGACGGGACTTACCATGGAGAGGACGACCAGGGCCGGGAAAAAGCCCATCACCACGTAGCATAGGAGCTCCACTAGTTTGTACCTGGCAGGAAGACAAGCCACGGTGGCCTCAGGACAAGCCCCTCAGTGAGGAAACAGCACACAGCTCCCCGATGCTGAGGAGAAGCGGATACCCTGATGGGGACACTGAGAGGAAGGGGCTCTAGGCAGCACCCCTGGGCCCAGAGTCCACCCAAATCTTTCTTTCTTTCTTAAATACAGGGTTTCACTATGCAGTTCAGACTGGCCTTGAACTCACTTTGTAGCCCAGGCTGGCCTCAAACTCCCAGTGAACCTCCTGCTTCAGCCTCCCCAGGGCTGGAATTCCAGGCATGCACTACCACACCTGGAAGAGCCACAAATCCCCCAGGACTGGTGAATAAGGTGGGTCGGGGCACAGCGTCATGTTTATGAGCCTGCTTGTCGGTTGGATGGCGCTGGATAGCAGTGTGCGCTGTGTTTTTATCACACCCTGCAGAGACACTTAAGGAAGAGGATTTCCAGAGCTGCTTCAGAAAGCGGAAAGAAGGACAAGAGGAGGGTGTTCAGAGTGAGGAGGAGCGTTCTGAGGAAATGAAGAGCAATGCATCTCTAACTGTAATAATGTTTAAAATCCAAACATTCACCCTATATTTCTGTCCCATCTGTAGCAGCCGTGTGGATACTACAAAGGCTCAGCCCAGGGCAGACATCACTGTTTGATCCCTGCCTCTTCCCCCACAGGGCCTACGCAGCCGCTCTCAATCGAATGCAGTTGCCTAATCACCTGATCTCCATTTGCTCCAGCAGTAGATCTAGGCAGAGATGCACACTCACTTTTCTGGGATCACCCTGGGGTCTCGCCCACCCTGCAGGAGGAAGTCCTGCTGGGGATTCAAGAAGCACCTCACCCATCTGAGACCCTGGCCCCAGCTTACCGCTCATGGAAAAAGAAGACGTAGACGGTGCCAACAGAGGCCATAATCCAAACCAGCCAGCGCATGTGGGAGGCCCAGGGACCCAGCTCCCGAAGGTTCAGCCTAGGAGAGAGAGAACCCAGGACACAGCATGAGTGGCCATTGGACTCGGCCCTTCACAGCCGCCTGTCATCAGAGCTGACCCCAGAGGTGCCCTGTCCCTTGGGCCGCACAGGATCCAGCGGCTCTGTGGGGAGGCTGAGGAGCGGGGCGGAAGGGTCCCCAGCAAACTACAGCAGCTACAGGCTGAGCATCCTTATCCACACGCTTGGGGCCAGATGGGTTTCAGATTTGGACTTTTTCAGACTTGGAAACGTCAGCATGTATACGATGAGACACCTTGATGATGGCACCGGAGAAGTTTATTTGTGCCCCAAATAAACATTGTCCACACACTGCCAAAGGTGCTTTTCTACAGTATTTTTAGTACACTTGTGTTTTGAGTGTGATCCCACTTGTGAGGCCGGGGATGGAAGTTTCCACTCACGATGTCCCAGCAGTATTCCAAAAGTTTCAAATTTCCGAACATTTTGGGTTTTAAATGTGCTTAACCTGTATTAGAAGAAAATCAGCAAAAATGTTGTAAATGTGGAAGGGAGGAGGAGCCAGAGACGTGAGGAGGCAGGGAGGGAACCACAGACCTGGATGAGACTGAAAACTACGAAGAGGGGCGGGCAAAATAAGCATAGCATCCGCCTTAAATACAAACAAACACCCCCCCCCCACGGTGTCCAGTATTATCCATCCGTGCTGCTTATCAATCTTTTGCCTCAAAGCTCCAAGTCTACTCAGTTGGCTTTGGAACGTAGTCTTTCTGCGAAGGAGGTGCAATGCTACATTTTAGCGATAGGTGGCGCTGGAGAGGGGTTCGTCCTCCAGGTTTCCCGAGCTCTCGAGCCAGGCCCCTGAGAGCCCGCTTTCCTCTGGTTCGGTCAATCCTGCGCGTCCCCCAGCGCTGGGTGCCTGCAGGGCGCAGCTTTCTCCCACATGTGGCCTCAGCGTGTGTCTCTCGAGCTGCAGTCTTGGTACCAGCAGGCGCGAGCCTGAGGCCTGACAGCCACTCCTGCACCCTTTCGTCAGCCCCACATGCGACATCCCGGCAAGCTGACTGCTGACTGCAGAGATCCACGCTCAAGGTCCCTCCTAGGGGCCTCTCCCAGTGCTGGTGCCGGAGTCCCCCTAACATGGAGCAAACGCTAAGGCTGAGCACGCCCTGTGAACGCCTTGCCCCTGAGCGCTCAGCTGCGCTCCCCAGCATGCCAAGCTGAGCCCCAAACAAGGTGGGGTCTCACGCAGGCAGGAGAATGGCCCTCTGCTGCTTTCTGTGCACCCACCGCTGCGACCTCCCATCAGTAGCCCTTGGTATTCGGACTGGGGGTGTAGCTTGTGGTAAGCACACAAGAGGCCCTGGGTTCAACCCCTAGTATCCCCCCCCCCCCCATTCTTGATATTGGGTTTTCCTTGCTCAAATCACTTGGTGATTTCTGCCTTCTGCCCACATCCGGCCTACCACACCACTCTGATTCAGAGACCTTTAAAAATATGAGGACAACCTGTCTGGGCCAATATGGTTAAACGTCCAAGGCATACTGGCCGGTGTCGGGGGAGAGGTGCATGAATTGAGAATAACATAACTTGTGCACTATTTTTACACAAGAAGGAAGTAGTGAAAACACACAGAAAAGGTCTGAGCCCTTCCCCAAGTAGTTCTGTATGAAAAGGGACAGTTCCTATGGTGGCCATTGGTTGGGGACAGGATTAGGGTTGGGTTGGGGAAACGAGGTCCTTTGTTTCTTGAATGAATTCCTTTAATGGGAGTCTTAATGGTAAGACTTCTGAAAAAAAAATTGACCTCTTGCTCAGAGTCCAATTTGTCACTATGAAGGGGTTACCAGCTGGACATGGTAGCTCATGCCTGTAGTTCTAGCTCTGGGGAAGCTGAAGCAGGAAGCTTTCTTGAGCCTGGGAGTTCAGGATCAGCCTGGGCAATATAGTGAGACTCTATCTCAAAAAACAAAACAAAACAAAACAAAAGTGTGGCAAAGTAAATCAGTGGAACACTGCTCTTCTAGCAAGTTATGAAGCCTGGATTCAATCCTCAAGGCAACAAAGTAACATGAAAAGTTAAGAATAATCCATCTCATTATTCAAAATGATCAAGATGACTTTAGATGTCTTTCCAAGCAGATATAAAAGCGAGCCAGCCAGGTGTGGTAACACATGCCTATAATCCCAGCACTCAGGAAGCTGAGGCAGGAAAACTGCCAGGAATTCAAGGCCAGTTTGGGCTACATAGTGAATTCAAGGACAGCCTCAGCTACACAGTGAGACCCTGTCTCAAAAAGAAATGAACCAACAAACAGCAGATCAGCGGACAGGAGGGTGGGTATTAACATGGGATGAACAGAAGGCAAGAGAAGAGGGACAAAAGGGTGGACGGAAATAAAGCAATGGAGAAAGGTGAGAGTCAAATTTACACATGTCAGTTTTATTAACTAGACACAGTGATACACACTTGTGACCCCAGCACTCTGCCCAGACTGAAAAACTTAGCAACCTAGCAAGACCCTATCACAAAATAAAAGACAAAAAAAGAAAAGGATGGGGCTGCAGCTCGGTGTGAAGGCCCTGGGTTCAATCTCCAGTACTGCAAAACGTAAAGTAAATTAAATCAAATTATTACATTTGATTTTAACTCGACTTTAACAAAAGAGAATACAACCTAACAAAATGGTTAGTTCAACTTCAAACAAATGTGTCTCCAACATAAATTTTACTTTGACTCTAAAAACAAGGAGGTCAACTATGTAAAGCATAAAGATGTTGGATTTTCTTGCTATATGTTTCCATGGTCAGTGCTGTCCATCGAGTCCCCCAGTATAAGACACAAGCTGGACGTGGTGGCACAGCCTGTAGCCCCAGAACTCTGGGAGGCTGAAGCAGGAAGATTGCAAGGTTGAGCCCAGTCTGGACAACTTAGTGACTCACCAAGGTTTTGTCTCAAGATATAAAAAATGAAAGACTATGCTGTAGGTCAGTGTAAGGGCCCTGAGCTCAGCTCCTAGTAATGAGAGCTGAGAGACAGACAGACAGACACACACACAGAATGGATCAGCATCCCCACACTTCCCCACCTTTTCTCTAAATCATCATTCCTTACAGATACTGGTATTTTACAGTCTCAGGTGCAATAATATCATCTTGTTCTATGACCGTGATTCACACAACTGTCTAACATTGGTTCTTTTTAAACGGAGTCGACACTCACTACCATTTTTGAGATACAGGTAGGTAGATACTGCGGATTGAACCCAGGGCCTTTGCACTGAGCTACACCCCCAGCCCCTTTTTATTTCTGAGGCAGGGTCTCATAAAGTCACACATACCATAGTCAGACTTACCATCCCCCCAGCTCAGCCTCCCAGAGTTCTGGGGTTACCCGGCATGCGCACTCTCCATCTAATCAGCTAGGTTTTGTTATCAAGGCATTTTTTTGGCAAAGCCTCTCAAAGGTACTGTATGCCCTGATTCCTTTCCTGTGTGACAATGGTTTTCTATGGTTTCACTGCGGTTTCCTGTGTGACAGCCTCACTAGACAGCTTGTCCTGAGGTCTACCTTTGGGAAACTGTGCAAGTGTTCCCACGGTGTTCAGCATGAAAGAGGGCTGTGGGCACATTCAGGGGCCACATTTTTCTCCCTTCCTAAGAGTGTTCTCAGTTTCCACGCCCCAAGAACGGGACTCCGTCTTTCATGTTATTAATTTCTCTCTGACTGATGTAAGTCTTGACTATTTAAAAATGTGTGCATTCTCTCAGATAACCCACACCTGACTCTAGTTCCATGCTGTGCTGCGAGTTGTCTGTATTCGTCCAGTACGATGCGGCTTTGCTCTTCGGTTTGTCCCTTTCAGTGTGTGATGACCATCTTCATTTCCTCGGATCTGTGCTCTTGTTTAACTGGACTCACTTTTCACAAACAGATACAAGTTCTCGTTCTTCTTCAGACCCGGAACGCAGGAGAAGCTGGAGCACGAAGCAGATGACAGGCGGGGACGGAGTCTGAGCCTGTCACTGCCTCCAACCCCGGTGACACAGGAGGAGGATGGAGGTGACCAGCAGAAGCTCGAGACAGCACGGAACATGCACTTGTCCCACTCCCAGAGGAGCTGGAGGAGAGACCTCCGTCCTCGGTCACTGTTGCAAAGAACGTGCGCGAGGGCCTGGGCATCGCCCACCAGATGGCGCTGTCTCTCTTCCGCCCTTTCGGGACTGGGCGTGAACAGCCTCGCCACTGCCCAGCAGAGGGCGCTGTCTCTCGTCCCATTTGGAACAAGGCAAGAAACAAAATTCTGAAAATCCGCAAAGCCAAGCGCTCCAACGCCGCCCTGGCTGTAAAGCTCAGCCGGGCCCCTGGAGCCGCACCCCTGCCCATGTCACCGTGCCACCTTCCCGAGGAGCCTTCTCCAGGGTCCCTCGGTCAGCAGAAAGGGCCCCAGGAGCCCTCCGCAGGGGGAGCCCTCTGCTGCCCACTCTGCCCAGAGCCTCCAGACCCTGAAACCTCAGTGCTGGGCCGTGTTCATCTCCCCGTCCACAGGTGGACACTGATTTGTCTTTTGCTTTCCCCAACAATTACACTTATGCTGGTTTCCTTAAACTTCGGGGAAGGGGGAGTCTGTCCCCGTTGGTTTCACCACTTTTTCTGCACTCTGCCCTGGCACACCGGGGTGTGTGCTAGACCGTGGGCCTTCACAACGCAGGCACAAGCCGGCGCTTGAACCCAGAGCCACGTCTCCAGCCCTTTTGTGCTTTTTACCTCGAGACAGGCTCTCACTGAGTTACTGACTTGTCTGAACTGGGCTTGAACTTGGGGTCCTCCTGCCTCAGCCTCCCGGAGGGCTGGGGTCACAGGCCTTGGCCACCTTGACACCTGCGCTGGGACAGTCCACTTTTACCTCACTGTCCTCACCGCAGCTGGGGGCAAGGAGAGTGGCTACCCTATCTCCATTTTAGAGATCAGAAAACAGGAGTTTTCTGAAAGGCACACAGGAGGCTGACCCGGGCCCAGAATGCGGGCTGTACCATTATTTCTAGAATGTTCTATCTCTGCCACGCCACAGCCTTTCAAGGCTTTTGAATTCACACAGCACTCTGAGTATCTGCCTTTAGAGAAGCATGGTGGCTGTACCTGTAATATCAACACCTAGAGGCTGAGGCAGGAGGATCAGGAGTTTGAAGTCAGTCTGGGCTACACAGCGAGTTCAAGACCAGATTCTTCAGTGGGTTCCAAGATTTCAACTTTCAACTGGATCTTCCAGCCCTGGCGTGCAGTGGTCCCTTTACATTCTTTAGCCCAGCTCTGCAGGCAGCCACTCTGAGCTACCTTGCTACATCACATACACTGCACGCTAACTCTGGTCTTCTAGTGAACCCTGACACGCACACACACACATTTCCTTTTGGTGCATCAAATATGTCTAGAAGGGCACACAAGAAACCAGCAAAGAGTAGCTGCTCCTGGCAGGGAAACAGATGGGGAGACTCCCCATCTCCCAGTTCCTCCCACCCAGCAGAGACTCAATGACAAGGTCAGGCAGCGGCAGCGGCAGGACTCACCAGGGTGCGTAGGAGGCCGCGATGAAGAAGTAGATGACCATGCGGTCGACCATGTGCAAGCAGTGCTCCACCATCCTGGGAGGCAGAGAGGGCGGTCACGGCCCCAGGCAGCAGGAAAGGGCTGGGGGCCCTGTGCCCAGCCCAGGAGTGCAGTACCTCCCCCATGCAAGAGGGCCTGGGCTCAGGCAAGCTCTCCTCCCCCAGTCACAACCCTTCTGCCTCAATTTCCCCCTCTGTCAGTGACCAGAGTGGAGGGAATCAACCCTAGACTCCTTGCCATTCTGGGGGCCATGTGGAGAGGCTTTGGGGTCCCACTGAAGTGACTGCTTACCTGTTCCCGGGCCTTAATCAGAGCTGCTCTGTGTTTCAGTTTGGTAACCTGGGCTTCGGTTGGAAAAGAATCCTATGGCTCAACACTGTGCAGACTGGGGCTGCAGCCCAGAAGCTGCCAGATTCTACAGCCACTCGGAAGCGTGGGGGCTCTGACTCACTCCCAGCCGTTTCCGCCTCTGTGAACCAGGGCCACCAGCAACCCGGTCACAGGCTCGCAGAGGATGACGTGAGCCAGCGCTCAGCACGGCATGCGGGAGGCGGTCAGTGAATGCCAGCTCTTCCACCACCTACCCCTGCAATGAGCTGTGGCCTCTGTGCACGTGGCCAGTTCACAGGCGGCCTCCAGGGTGGCACCCGTGTCCTGCTCTGAGGCTCCCATCTTACCCTGTCCCCACTCACAGCAGACAGGGCAGCCTTCCGGAGCACCAGTCTAGACCCCAATGTCACATGGCATCTGCTGCTAGCTTTGGGGGACACCAGCCAGCCCATGGCTGCAGGGAGGCCCAGCTGGAGATGAACAGAGATCCCCAAACATCCAGCACCACCTTCTCAGCCAGGGGAGGTAGGCACCTGGGAAGTGGACACCCCAATGACACCCAACATCTGGCTGCAGGAGGCACCCCAAGCCACAGCCCACCACATCTGACCTGCTGAGGCCCCAAAAGATAACAAACATTTCTTGTTACTTTCAACCACCACATTTTGGGGTATCTTTGTTACACAGCAATAAAGGACCAATACAAACTGTGATTCAGCCCAATGAACTGACCAATGATGCTACGTGTAGTCCAACCACACATGTCTCTGACAACAATGACAATGGCTAACAGGTGCAGCCCAAGCTGCCAGCGCAGAGCTGCTGTGAGGCCTTTACCAACAGTGACCCCAACCCTGCCTACCAGGGAGGGGCCACCATCTCACCCGCCCTCCCAGGTGAGGACAACGGCCACAAGTCTGGGAATCGGGCCCTAAAGCCAATGGCTGCGTCTTCATAAGAGAGCTGGGGATGTGGACCCCAGACACTGAGGGAGGCCAGGCGAGGTGAGGCAGAGGCTGCAGCAACACAGTCACAGCCTAGGGCTGCCGGGAGCCAGCAGGAGCCGGCAGGGCAGCAAAGGTGCTTCCTGCAGCCCGGAGGGAGCGTGATCCTGCCCACACCTTGCTCCCAGACTTCTGCCTGCAGAACTGGGAGGAGCTCAAGAAGGACCCCAAAGGGAGAGAACTTTGGGGAACAGGGAGAGGGTGGAGCACACTGTGGGGCCCAGGATCCTGCAAGCAGTTCTGGCCCGGACACAGCCACTGTGACTCAAGACCCCTCCCTTGGGGGCCTCACTACACAGGCCTGGAGGGTGTCCTGTGAAGTGAAACAGGCCGTCCCGCCACCCTGTGCCACCAAGTTCCAAGAGACAGAGCAGAGGTGCGGGGCCAGGGCAGGGCGCACAGGGAGTTGGTGTCTGCCGGGCACAGAGTGGCCCTGCACTGAGGAGGGGTTAAGGTAGCAGACTGTAGACTGACCTTCTGCTTGTTTTGAAATCTTAAAAATTAAAAGCAAAACAAATCAAGGTTTTAAAAACCAGGAATTTGGCCAGGCATGATAGTGCACACCTGTAATCCCAGGAAGCTGAGGCAAGAGGATCGCTTGGAGTTCAAGGCCAGCCTGAACCGCATAGTGAGACTGGCTCAAAAAAAAAAAAAAAAAAAAAAAATCAATCAGGGATTCTCTTGAAAAGACTGGGGAAGGACATCTGGACAGCGCTGGGACCCGGGAGGTGGTCAGGAGGGTTACAGCAGGGCCTGTAGGGCCCCTTGCTGTCCTCTAGGGCTGAGCAGATGGAGAGGCTCTTGGGGGGCTGCTCAGTCCCAGCACCCTGAAGATACCCCAGAGTCACCCCCTCCTCGGTCCCCTCTGCAGACTCAGTATCCTGCCCCATGCGGGCAGGTGTCCCCTCTGGGGCCGGCCGGGACATACCTGAGGTGGCTCTTCTTCCAGGAGATGGTGTGGAACACGGTGGACACCACGAAGAGCCCGCAGAGACCCAGGCTGTAGATCCAGGCGGAAATGGTCTCCCAGTCATCGTCGGACAGGAAGTAGAGGTTGGAGCCGCCGAGGATGCTGGGGAGGATCCAGAACTGTGGGAAGGGACAGCTGCAGGGGCGTCGCACGCAGGGACAGGGCCCGCATCCTGCTTTCCTCCAGACCAGACTGTGCCACTAGACCAGACTGCAGCCACCAGGTGGCCACGGGGCACAAGAAGGCAGCCAGGGCCACTGAAGAACGGAGTCCATGAACATGGCCCGCACTAAATGATTTTATCTGAATTCTAGGGCTGGAGGCTGTGTGGACCCTGCAGGGTGCGGGGACCGCAGCCAGGGCACAGCTGGTGCCCGGGCCCCACACAGAGGAGCCCGACGGGTGCTGCATGTGCACGTCACCTGGTGGTCACTGACATCCAAGCCTTGCCTCCTGAGAGTCCCCTAAACGGCAGTGCTCCGCCTGGACCAGCTCCAGTGTGGGCCCAGCTCTGCCAATAAGGAGTTAGACAGCCATGCCTGCGGTGGGAGCGGCTCAGCGTGGCGCCCTGTCCCCCACCTCTCCAGATGCCCGCTGGCCTCCCCTCCCCCTCCGCTCTCCTGCTCCACCCAGGGCTCCCATGCTGCACCTCAAGGAGGCTGTGCCTGGTGACAGCCTCGCAACGGCTCCCTCCACCCCTTGCCCGCCCTGTCACTCCGAGGAGGCGCCTCCTCGCCCTCCCCGCCTGATCCCTGTCCCTGTCCCCATCCCGGGTCCCTGCCTTACTGATCTACTTCCTCAGGGTTACTAGGCCTCGTGAGCCTTTAATGAACATGTACCCGAGGAAGGAAGGAAGGATGGATGGATGGACAGACGGAAGGAAGGGAGAGGAACGAATACCAAAAACCTGAGAGGGGAAGGAGCAGGCACGTGGAGAGTCCAGCCCCAACAGTGTGCAGCCTCTGAGGTCCCCTGGAAAATACTCCCTGGAAAGCGGGGTGCTAGAGGGACCCGCGGGCCTCGGTGGCACCCACTGCCAGGACAGGGACAGGGGGAGGTGGGGCAGCTCCCAAACCAAAGGCCGCCGCCAGCCCCCGGCCAGCTGCTCAGCACGGACTGAACATCTGGCAGACAGAAGGGAGGAAGGGGACAGATTGGGGTTTGGGGGGTAAGGTACAGGGACTGAACCCAGGGCTTTCACCCTGAGCTACACCCAAGCCTTTTTTTTTTTTGAGTGCTCGCTTGGGCAGCACGTATCTAAAATATTTTTTGATTTTGAGACAATGTCTTACTAAGCTGCTTAAGCGGGCTCCAACTTCTGTTCCTCCTGCTTCAGCCTCCCGGAGTGCTGGGACCACAGGCATGTGCCACCTCACCCAGCTCAGGGACAGCGCTACAAACACTTAGAAATGACTTCCTTGTATCTGACTGTATGCTTTAAAAAGTGCACGGGGATCACGTCCCTGAGGTGGGGAGCAGAGCCCCCGCAGGCCACCACCTGGTCTTCTTTGAGGCTCCCACATCATCTGGGGTACCTAGGCCCTCTCATCTGCCTCCTTTTCTCCTCCCTCCTCCCCCTTCCTTCCCGGCCTCCCTCCCTCCATGAGCCCTGAGCACAGCTCTGTCCTGGCAGAGGCAGATCAGAGCTGCTGCCATCACCCTGTCCCCACCCTGTGCTCAGGGTGAGCTGCACAGGCACAGCACCAACTGTGGGGTCGCGTGCATCTGTGCCTGTGGGATCCTCAGCCCCTGGCTCCTGGTGACTGCAGGATCAGCTGCCACCTTGGGGAGGGAGCCCGACCCAGGAGACCACAGGGTGGCACCAATGCCTCGGGCGGCACTCACACAACCCTGGGGGTGGGTGGGTAGCACACATCCATTCTGCAGATGAGGAGAGTGAGGTTTAGAGCTGCATGGTCACAGAGTTGGGATTCGGGGACAGATGCTCTGGGGTGGCTGTGAGAAATCAGCTTATCTGAGAACCACATGGTCACCCCTCAGGTGCTCTGTGGGGCCGGGGGCAGGGTGAGTACCACAGAGGGGCTCCTGCTCCAAGGGAGTGAGCAGGATAAGCAGACACAGAGCTGAGCAAGTGTGTACCTGTGATCCCAGCACTCTGGGAGGCTGAGGCAGGAGGACCCCAAGATCAAGCCCAGACTGAGCAATTTAACAAGTCCCAGGGCCCAAATAACAAATAAAAAGGGCTGGGATTAGCTCAGTGAGCAGAGCCTGGGTCTGCTCCCACCACAAAAAGAAAGGGAGGAAGGCAGGGCACAGGAAGCCTGGGCTCATCTGAACTTCACTGTGGGCAGGCTCAGCAGCATCCATCCATGGCAGGCGTGTTGTCTCCTGAGATACTGAGTCGCCCCACACCTGCACTGCCAGGGCCTGGAGCACAGCCCGGTGCCTCGAGGGAGGAGGAAAGATTTGCTGACTGACTGATGAATGGACTGGTCCCTCCTCCTAGGCGTACAGGTCAGGGGGTAGGGGCGTTGGAGGGGATGGTCTCAGGGCTCCCCAGCAGCTGGGTCAGTGGGAAGGCTTCTGGGGAACATCTCCGTAAGGCTGTGAAACACAAAGAGGGCTTCACAGATGAGACTGGGGTGGAGAGGAAAAGTATTCCAGGCATGGGCACAGCACGTGCAAAGGAAACAGGAGTGGGCGACCTGTGACCCCAGGGACGAGAGTGTGGAAACAAGAGCAGGACACACAGGTCAGACCTGCCTGAGTGTGTGCTGTGTGATGAGATGCTGTACCAGGTACTAGGCAGCCACTGAAGGTTCTAGCGGAAGGGAGGCACCCCCAGCTCCAAGCCCCCAGCGTCCATCACACGTCCCCCAAGATCCTGCTCGGCCTCTGTGGGCCACAGGAGACCTGAGAGATGGCTCCCGAGGAGAGCCAAATGTCTGCGTGGGCAAGGAGGCTACCTTTCCTGTCCCCACTGCCTCCCAAGCCCCAGCCCCACTCACAGCGTGGGTGGCGCAGTTGGCCGCGTGCTCGTACTCCGTGGGCTGGTAGCGCTTGTGGGGAGGGACCCGGTGGTTCATGAACCTGGAAGGAGGGAGAACCGGGGGTGCTCAGGGGGACATGCGGCGGCAGCGGGGTCCTCTGGTGGGAGGGGCCCCTCCTGGCTCCTTGTCCCTGCTGCCACCCTCCCGTCCCTCTCGATGACCACGCTGTTCCCTGCCACCTGCCTCCCTACAATGCATGTTCATCACCAAACTTCACTCACTGCAGCTGCTCCTGGAGTTCCAGTGGGCTCCATCCCCCCAAACACCAGCTGCGCACTTAGGACCCCACATAGGTGCAAAGACGGAAGCCACAGGTTGAACCACTGGTACTCGGAGGCTGTGGGTGGGGTGCAGTGCTCTCTCGCTTTTCTCTCCGTTTTATTTTATTTGCAGTACCGGGATTAAACCAAGAGCCCTCACACTGAGCTCCAGCTCCAACCCTTTTTCTTTTTCTTTTTTTGTACCAGGGACTGAACTCAGGATCTTGCACTTGCCAGGCAGGTGCTTACACCTCAGCTTTCTTTTTAAATTTTGAGACAGGGTCTTACTAAGTAACTAAGCTGTCCAGACTGGAATCAAACTTGTAATCCTCCCGCCTCAGCCTCCCAGAGTGCTGGGATTACAGGTGTGTGCCACCACAGTGGATTTGTAAGACTTTCTTGAAGTGTAATTTACAGTTTGACTCCCCCTAGTGTATGACTTGGTTACTTACACACACACACACACACACACACACACACACACACACACACACACAGAGGACTCCACTCTGAAGGGCATAGTTCATTTCCTGCCCCCCAAGAAAGTTTCCTTCTGCCCCTTCTGGGGGAAGAAACTGCTCTCCAGAGAAAGCACCCTCTGACACGGCCACTGAAGGTTGGTCTCCCTTCCTGGAACCGCCATCCACAGACACAGCACACGCGTCCTCTCCTTTATGGCTGCTTCCGCTAAGGAGATTTTTGCAGACTTCTCTCTGTTCCTGGACACACTGACTGGGATTTTTCAGGTTCGTGTAGCTCTCCATGAATTAAGCAGACCACACAGGATTTGTTCGGCCTGCCTCAGATGGTGCTGCACTTTTGAGCGGCTGGGGATGACTCTGTGTATCATTTTTTGGTGAGCATAAAGTGCTCATTTCTCCTGAGCTCACACCTACGTGTGCAATTGCGAGGTGACTTTACTTTAAAAATAAACGGTCCTGATGTTTGATATCTTTGGAAACTTCTGAGCTGATCGCCTCTGTCTGATCACCTCCCCCCTCCCCCGCCCCCAGGACCTCACAAGCTGTCACTCAACCTAAGAATGTGGAAAGCCAGGGTCCGCTAGATGGCAGGTTCGCCTGGGGCGTTGCCAGTGTCGTCCGCCAGGGGACGCTAGAGCCCTCTCCACTGCGCCCAATTGCTAAGAGCAGGAAATCAGAGGCGCGTTTGAGCGCCTTCTGTAAGCTGGCATCTTGCTAGCCACGTTGACAGGCTGTGCTGGTTCTGCGCCCGTACAGTTCACGAAGTACTACGGGCCCCTTGTGTACCCCCCACCCGAGAACAGTGTGGGCCGACTGGGAGAAGAGGCGGCAGCGGGTCTTCGGACTCCCACTCCCGGGCCTGGCCCAGCCTGGGGGTCTGGTTTTCCTATGCACTGGTCAGGCCAGGGGTCCAGGTCAGCCCCCCCACCCCACCACCTGCAATGGCTCCCTGGCCACGTGGACCATGGCCATGTGACTTCGGATCATGTAACCAAGGATCATGTTACCAGTGTCCCACTGAACCCAGCAGACCCATGAGAGAACCACGACCCCCTGGCACCGCCTCCCATGGCCGGATGCTGTGCAGGGCCGGTTAAAGCTGGGTTCCTGGTCCCAGAGGAAACCGGGACCCTGAAGTAGAGCCTCCTTAGGGGCCCACAACAGCTGGCCAGAAGTCACCGCAGCAAGACTGGCTTCTTAATAAACAGCAACGAGAAGGATGACAGCGTCGTGGGCAGAGCTGCCGATACTCCTGGGCCATGGTCCTGACCCTGGACGGGCCTACAGATGCGACGAGGGTGCACGAGGTCATGCTGGAGGATGGTGGCTCCCTGATGCCATAGGACAAGCGTCCTTATGAGCCGAGGAGAGGCACAGATGGGAGCCTCCCAGGGAGAAGGCCACCATCTGGCCACGGAGGGGAGGCAGCAACGGCACACGCAGGTCCTCCCGTGGTGGGGTCCTCATCCACCTGTCCCCAGGCACGGCCGGAAGTCCTTTCTCTAGCCCTGGCCAGCCACCCATAGTGCCGGCTGCCCAGCCCCAGGGTGATGTCACAGTTGCCCTGGTGACCTGGGAGCTGGTTATTTATTTATTTCTGGGCTCCACAAGGCTCCCCTTGTCTCCTGCAATGCAGCTATTGAGGGAGGAAGAAAGAGGGGCCAGGAGATGGGGCCAGGGGACCCAGGCACGAGGCCAAGCAATGGTTCCCACCACCCGAAAGACCCAAGAAATGTTCCTTTAACCCCCTGGGGACCAGCTCTCTCTTCACACACTGCTAGATGGGCCTTTTAACAAGGCAGCAAGTTCTTTTTTACATCTGAACTGGGATGGAGCACAACGCCCCACCCCCTTTTCTTCTGATGCAGGGATTGAGCCCAGGGCCCTCACTCTGAAGCTGCAGCCCCAGCCTTTTATAGCTTTTATTTGGAGACAGCATGTTGCTACATTGCTAAATTGCCTCGGCTGGGCCCACACGTGCGATCTTCCTGCCTCAGCCTCCCAGAGTGCACAATTTCCTGTTTTGCTGTACAGTTTTATGGCCTTGAAAGAATATAATCGATCCTGGAGCTATCACCATAATCAAGATAAACAGCAGATCCATCAGCTCCTCAAGACCCCCAAAATCCACCAGCCCCCCCAAAAACTACTCTGTCCTTTTTCCCTTTGCCTTTTTCAGAATTCCGGATAAATGGAGTCAGACCATAGTCACAGCTTTAAAAAAAACTGTTTTGAGAGGATTGATTGTGTAAGTTACATCTTATTCTTGGGTGAAATGGAAATTGTATCCCAAGCAATTTAGGTATTTTCTATTAAAATGTATTAATAAGACGTTTCCAAGCCAGCTACTCTTCAGGCCCGTGATCCCAGGGCTATGGGGAGCTGAGGCAGGAGGACCACAACTTTGACCCCAGCCTGAGCAGCTTAGTGACTTAGCCAAATCCTGTCTCAAAATAAAAATTTTTAAAAGGACTGGGGATATAGCTCAATGGATAGGCCCAGTACCACAAAAACAAAACAGCCGATGTTTACGAGACAGGCTTGTTTATACAAAAAAATGAGCAGACCTTTCCAGGTGATCACCCCAACTCCTTCATCCCTCCCCAGGCAGCCTTTCCAGCCTGCTCTCTTCACCAGCACAGGGCACTTGCTATTTCTCTATGTGGCTGCATGCTCCTTTCTTTTGAATTGATCTTTAATTAAGCAGCTTCTCTGTTTGTTTTGGTGCTGGGGACAGAACTCAGGGTCTCACGCATGCTCAGCACGTGCTCAACTGCAGAGCCATAACTTGGCCCCTTCCTCCTTGGGGCTGAGTAGTACTCCTCTGTAGGATGTGCCAGTGCTCATCAGTCCCCAGGGCAGGGACCGGAAATTGCTTCTAATGGGTGGCAGGTAGAGGTCAAAAATCAAGAATCAAAAATTACTTGGTTCAGAACCAAGTGTCCAGTCAGAGAAATGGCCTCAAAACAGGGAGGCCCTGAAAAAGCCTGCACCACTGTTGGTTATATTAAACAGAAAACCAGGCCATATAATCCCTATTTTGTGGCCAACCCTGTGGCCTGGTGGACTGCATAGCCACAGCCACTTGGAGCAGGAAGAGGGGCCAGACGCTGGCACCCGACAACCCTAGAATGCTGAGCCCCTCTGGGACTCTCTGTGTGCCACTTGGCTGCTGGAGATGCCCGGAAGGCCCTGGGCACCACTTCCTGGTGTGCACAAGAGGGCGAACTGCAGCCCACAGCCATGCCGGGCCACACAGCAGCGTGCCACACCTCTCCTGCCTCTCCTCTAGACTCTCACAAACTCCCAGGCACTTTTTTGTCTCAGTGGTACTAGGGATCAGCCCAGGAGCTGCTAGCCCTGAGCTATAACCCCTGCCCTTTTGCATTTTTCTTTTGAGACAGGGTCTTGCTAAATTGCCCAGGTTGACCTTGAACTTTCAACCCTCCTGCCTCAGCCTCACCGGGCACCAATGAGCAAGCCTGTCTAGGTCTTCTCAGAAGGGTACCATGCAGGGCCCCCAGTGCACTGGAGAAAAGCGTAGTATGGTCCGAGTGGGAGATGAAGCCAGCAAGAGGAGCCTGCTGGTTCCCAGTCCCAACCACACATTAAGAGCAGCCTGGGTGCCAGGGGCTGGGGTCCACACCTGGGGTCCCAGTGACTAAGGAGGATGAGGCAGGAGGATGGTTTGAGTCCAGGAATGCAGAACCTGCCTGGGCAGCAAGCAAGAACCCATCTCAAAAAAAAAAACTTAGGTAATAAATGGGCAGAGGGATAACAAAATGTGGTTTCTCCATGCAATCTGCAAGGTGAAATATTACTCTGCCTCAAACAAGAATGAGGAACATGCATGCAACAGGCTGGATGTGCCTCAAGAAGACTGGGCTGGGGCCTGGGGTATAGCTCAGTGGCACAGCAGGGCTTAGGGTGTGCAAGGCCCCAGCTTCCATCCCCAGCACCCCCGAAACAAAACAGAAAGCCCCATTGTGGTCAGTGAAAGACGCCAGACACAAAAGGTCACAGAGGGAATGACACACACTTTTGTGGCAAAGCAACAGGATTCAAATGATATTTTCTTCTTAAGAACCCTCTTGGGGCCCGGAGGGAGAGGGTGACAGACTGCCTGTGAGATCACAGCACAGAGGCGGAGGAGACTGCGGCCAGCTGTGCAGGAGAAGCCACGCCAATGCGTTGAGGACGAAGCTGCAAAGACAGTGTGACAAGCAGAGCGGAGCTCGCTGCGAAACACCAGCAGCCAGTGGCTCTCGGGGCTCATGGACGGTTCCCGGCGTTTCCCT